AATATATATATATATATATATATATATATATATATATATATATATATATATATACACACACACACACATAAAGATGGATGTTATTACATTCTGTACAGAATCAAATAGTAAGACAAAATGATGATATTATATGAAAAATTTAGCTATGTATCAAACAATGGTTACCTTTCAGGGGAGATCCAGATTGGAAATGTGGTTAAAGGAGACTTTAGAAATATTGTCATACTTTTAGATATACATGCCATACTTTTTCAAAAAAAGGATCATTCATATAGCACATGTGTAATTAAAAATCAGTTAAAAATTAAAATCTCTACATACTACAAAAAGGGAAATTGAACCCAAACTAGTTGAAAGACAAACTAGAAAAAAATATTAAAAATAAGCACATAGCATATATTTTTCATTATACTAACTGGTGCCATTTCTGAGTCAACATGTCAAACACTGTACAATGATCACAAAGTACTTGATATGCTGCATCTGACAACTGGCAGCATACTGATGTACACATAGAAACATTTTGGAAAAAACACTTTATTGATAAGTTTATTAGTGGGCATTCTAACAAAAATTTACATATTTTTAATGTTTTGACTAGTATACATCAAAAATACAATAGATCATTTCATTTACCATTCCTGATGCAGTTATTATTAGAAGTTATTATTACTAATCATTTAGTAGAAATTTCAGAAAAAAGCTGAGGTAAGAAAAGTTGGGGTAAGAAGATATAAACAATTCAGAAATATAATTATTGGTAAGTGCAACAAAAAAGCAAACTAAAAGCAAATTAAGTAAATAATAAAAACTAAACAAAGGAAAATAAAAATACAGAAATCTTAACAAAGAGGTCAAATAAAACACAGGATAAAACTTAACAGAGTCTTACTAAACTAAGTTGAATTTTCAACTAAATGGAGACTTAGTTTCTTCCAAATCAATATATTCCTACATATTAATCAACAACAAAGTTAAATACACTTGTGATAGACTAAAACAAATTTCTGTTTTTAAGTTAGGTTATTATCACCATCCAGTGTGGGAAAGCTAAAATATGGTATTAGTTTTAGATATTTTACATTATCATGTTTAATAGTCAATGATATAAAAATACACCTAATAAATTTAATTGATTTTCTTAAAACAGTAAATACTGAAGACAGATATAGGTCCTCCACATTTTAAATCATTTCTCAAACAGATTCAAAATCACAAAAGACTTTAAGGGTTACAAACTTAGAAAGACTATAAATCAAGACTAATTCTACTATAATTCACTTGGTTTATATCTGAGATCAAAAGTAGCACATAATCTTCCTATATAAGAAGCCTAGTTTTCTTAGAGCCTTTTACAAGACAAACTTGTTGTTACTGATTTGATTCCAACTGATGGAGACCCTAAAAGACAGAGTAGAATTGCCCCAGAGGGTTTCCAAGACTGAAATCTTTATGGAAGTATCTTTATCCCATGCAGCAGTTAGTGGGTTCAAACTACAGACCTTTTGTTAAGCAAGTGAGCACTTTAACCACTGTACCACCAGCACTCCTTTTATACACGACACTATAAAAAAGATCTTAATAAGTAGATTTACCAGGAAAACATAAAGACTTGCTAAATAAATCACCAAGTAGTTTACTGCGTTTACCCATTTCTTTCTGCACTTTGTAACACAGAGGAGTTCAAGAACAGTAACCTCCTCCGAAGAATTATTGTCAAGTTCACACCACCATACCATCTCTTGCCTCTCTAGTAACTTCAGGAAATAAAAAGTTACTCATTGCTTGGACTCCCAACAGAGTATTCTAAGAAGGTACTTTATATGCCATCTTTCTCCAAAAGAAGATCTCTAAAATACAGATGCATTTGTATTTTCTATAGAAGGGCACTATGTACTTAAAAGATTATTTGCTTCCTTAAAAAAAGAAAAATGAAGAAGAAACTTGGATGATATACAGTAGCAAGATTTTCCAAGAGGTATATATAAAGTCCTCTCAGAAAACTAATGATACTAAATGGCTTCATAATTTTCTGCCTCAGTGTGTATGCAATCATGAATGAATCCTATAATATCTTAATTTATTTACTTGTAAAATAGTCTATTCTATCAATAAAAATATTGTGCCATGTCACTAAAAGGTTAAGAGTCTTTAGATGAGAGAATTTTTTTAAAGAAAATTCACAAAAATTAACAACGTAAAAAATCAATTTTTTTTTGGCAATACCTAGAAGAATCAAGAGTGGTTAAAAATATAGTATCACTTAGTATATAATACATATTAAATATATTTTATGCTAACTTCATCCATTGGTTTTTGATGTTCTAATCTTTAGCAAATCTACAAATAAGGCAGTATAAAGGAAACAGGTTTGCTAAATATTTAAAAAGTATTCTGCCTTCTACGTCCAATACTCTTTCAACTTTAACCACTTGCAAATTAAAAGAACTTTCACTAGATTTCTTATATATAAAGGAGTTAAGTACCAAATGGAATTTCAAATGAAGAAAATAAACTGTTATAAATTCAGGAAGAAAAATATTAGCAACATCATAAATTAGCAAAGAATTTCTAAAAGAATATTGTGTGAGATAAGGTGCATTAAATGTTTCATAGCTGTTAAGTCTACAATAGTTTTTATCTGCATTTTTGCTCACCAGTTTAAAACATGGAAGCACTGACTGAATGAAAAGGACCATTTAAAAATGAACAGATGACAGCAAGTGTCATTTAAGGATAAAAGGAAGATGTACTATGTGCTTTGATTTGCAAATAACATTCTTTATCCAAACAATCCTTAGTGGTTTCATTATCCTTGAATGACAAGATTCTTTAAGACTGCATCAGAGAAGGATAACATCCTTTTACTGATGGAAAGCTTCTAATCTTATTCGCTTTGGATCTTCTGGATGTCTCAAGGCAATTCCATTACGCAGCAGCAGCTCAATATAAGGCGGCCAAAAGGAATCACTAATTTTGACATATGGGTCATGTGGAACATCAAATAATCTATTTATAAGGATCTAGGAAAAAATATTCGAAATATACTTTACTTGGGAAAGAGTTGATACAACTATAATAAAGCATAAATAAAGTTTTTCACCAAAAAAATGTTCATCTCTTTTCTCCTTGAAAGTTGTTTAAATCATAATTTTTATACACTAAAATAATTTATTTTCCTTTTCTAAACACTACAGATTGTGAAGGGAAAAATCTGTAACATGTACTGCTGCATCTTAACTTTGAACTCTTCTTACAAACTGGTTAAAAAAACTTTTATAATTCTCCCAATTATCTTAATATTAATAATTTATTTAAAACAGAAGTTCACTTATAACTTCTAAAAAATAAAAATATGAAACTTTAAAAAATCAACTGAGCACTCAAGAAAATATAAAATTCAAAAGAAAGTAAGCATGTATGTCTTAATATTTGAGGAAAATAAATGACCTAAAAATAAAAAATATTGAGAGGTTACAACCACAAATTGAGAAGTGTTGAGGATTTGTATTAAATTTATATAAGCTTAGAATCTTTCTTTTTGTTTTTAAACTTTTAGGTAATGCAGTATTGTGCATGTAATAATATTTGCCTCTGTTGTCTGTATCTTTTGTGCACATTTTTGTGTCCTCCCTATCCCCATTGTCGCTGTGCTGGTCACACACTCTTTCCATAAGGCCCCTCCTCTCACCCAAATCAACATGTGGAATCCAATCTAAGCTTGGAATCTTTCTTTAGCTCTCATTAAGTTTCTGTTTATGGGGATGGAAATTATAGATATTGATGGTGGCTGCATAATACTACTGATGCAATTTGAATTCACTGAATTGAATTCACTGAATTCAAGTGAAAACATTGAATTGGCAAAGTGTTACCTCTATTTTCGTAAGAATAAATAAATAAACAAATAAACAAACAAACAAATAAATAAATATAAGGCTAGCATTACCCAAACTGCATTCCATGGAATGTCTCCCTAAAGATGTTCTTTGTTCTTCAAAAACAGGGTTTTATGGTCAAATAAGCTTGAGAAAGATTGTCAGTGTGCACTGAGAAACACTGTATTTTCCAAATTCATTGGCATTACAATGCTTTTTACAAAAAACTCCTATTTACAACTCTTTGAATACTAATACTCTAGGAAGCACACACAAAAAAATACTATATATATTCCAATTACTACTGTGTTTCCCCAACTATCTTCGAGTGCCTTTAAAAATTACAAAATCAGGACTCAGAAGAATTAGGGGCAAATTAGTGGCAGACCATGGATTATATTCCATTCTCTGAACTGGTAGGCCAAAGCTTTAACTGAAAGATATAATTATTTTAAGGAATATGGAAAAGTAAAAATATCTCACCAATATAAAGCATCATAGAAATGAATAAAATTAGTATTTCAGCTCTAACCTCACTCATATTTCATATTAATATCACTATCTCAATTCTTAAAATAACATTTTCATCTGTCATTGACTTTGGTTATTCCAAGCCCTACCATCTTGGGAGAAAAGAACTTTTAGTCTTCTTTCTTTTAGGTATCATGACTGAGAATTAAGTATTATGCCCATTTGAAAGTAACTGTTTATTTTAATGTAATTTATCATCTTTCTAGTTTTTCACTTCTAATTTTAATTGTATTAATGGAACTTATAGTAAATGTCAGAAATAGTTAAATGCTAAAAATCGAAATTTAAACTAAACATTTACATTGTTTTATTTCTCATTGAATTGCAGTTAAAGCTTGATTACTTTTATCATTGACAATATAAGCCTAGAAGACAAAAATGTTTTATATAGCATCATATATTTTATTATGATACCAGATAAAAATTACATATGTATTTCACAGTTAACATTTGTCATTAAACATAAATCTGTCATATAAATGACAACTTTTATTTAAAAAAATATATTGTCATCTATGAGAAACAGTAATCATCTTAATTTTAGTACTAAAGTAGTTAGCACCATGTTAAAACGTTCTAATCACAAATCTAACACTTGCATTTTGCTTTTCAAAACAATTATAGTCTGTATTTAAGATAGTCTGAGGCACCAAAACTAGTTTGTTGAACAAAAATGAGCTTACCACTCAAATTATAAAATTACAATGAAACTTGTTTTCTGAAATCACTCTTTATTCTAACCTTAACAGTGACTTTTAAAAAGATACACTAATTGCTAAATATCCTACTTTCCATAGACTATTTTATTTTCCACTCTGCCCAGTTTGCCTTTGGTGGCCATATCAAGATCTTCTAAACTACTTAACACATTTGATAATTTGGCTGAAGTTCAAAAATATCTTTTAAAGCAGGGTGAGGATATATGTAAAAGAAAGTGAATTTAAAAGTAGATAAAGTTAAAATTACTCAGCCCTTACTATATGAAAAATGGCCTAATGTTATTTTTAAAGAAAAACTGTGCACAAATTTGGAACTTTGTGGAAAGAATCCTTAAGCTCATTTACATAGTTTAAATAGAGTGCAGTTGCCAATTAAACATCCCATCAAATACTGGCATAGGATTTTATCATGTAAGTATTACCTAGCTGCAAAAAAATCTTTGAAAATTGTTTACCTATAAAAATATCTCAGGAATATGATTAATGATTAGATTTTAAGGTCAAGTTCTTTTAAAAAGTGACAATACTCTTTCCTATACTTACAAAAAACAATATTATTTCCTGTACCATACAGAAATTAATTTTGTACTAATAATAAACTATGGTAAATATATTTACAAAAGACTGATGTATACCAAAAGATCTGAACCAGTATCTTTTCTTTTTCAAGCCTGTATGTGGAGTCCCTAGGTGGTGCTAACATAATGCCTTCATGTCAATTCCAACTCATAATTATCCTATAGGACAGAGTAGAACTGCTTCATAGGAGTTCCAAGGCTATAAATCTTTGCAAAAGCAGACCACCACCTCTTTCTCCCTTGGAGCAACTGGTGGGTTTGAATTGCCAACCTTTTGATTAGCAGCCAGGTGCTTAACCACTGAACCACCAGAGCATCTTTAATGTGCTCAACTGCTAACCAAAAGGATTGCATTTCAAGTCTACCCAGAGGCATCCGGAAAGAAAGGGCTGACAATCTACTTCCAAAACACTAACCATTGAAAACCCTATCAGGCAATATTCTACTCTGACACACATGGGGTAGTCATGAGTTGGAATCAACTCCAAGGCAACTGAAAACTGGTCTAATTGTTCACAAATCACTAATTAAGAGAAATTTTAGACAGAAGAATTAAACAACACAAAACACTTACCTCTAACATTTCATGGAGTGTTATCAGCTGTGCAGTTGATTCTTGAATGTTTTTCTTTGAAAGAAATGTGAATACAAATAATTAACATTTCAACTCTGCTAATGGCAGAATAGGAGCTCTGGTAGCATAGTGCCTAAGGCACTTGACTGCTCACCAGAAGTCTGGCGGTTCAAACCCACCAGCCACTCCTTGGAAGGAAGGTTGGGCAATCCTACTTCCGTAGTGATACTCGGAAACCCAAGGAGGGGTCACTATGAGTTGGGCCGACTCAACGGCAAACAACAACAACAACAATGGCAGAATATTAGACTATATTTATTATAAGATTTTAAAAATTAATATTACTTAATTGTAATGGCACACGGTTGCTATGAATTGAACTATGTCCTCCCAGAATATGTGTTGAAATCCTAACCCCTAACCTGTGGTTCAAACCCAACAACTGCTCCGTGGGAAGAGGATGAGGCAATCTACTTTTGTAAAGATTTACAGACTTGGAAACTCAATGGGGGTTGCTATGAGTGGGAATGGGAGCTCTGGTAGCATAGTGTTTAAAGCACTTTACTGCTAACCAGAAGGCTGGCGGTTCAAACCCACCAACCTCTCCTCGGAAGGAAAGTTGGGCAATCTACTTCCATGGTGATACCGCCTTGAAAACCCAAGGAAGGGTTGCTATGAGTCGGGTCCAACTTGACAGCATATAGTAACAACAACTTGAATGGGAATTGACTCAATAGTAGTGGATTTGGTTTTGGTAACCTGCCAGTGTGTCTCTGTCTGGGATTAGAGGTTTCCTTTTGCTATGTTAATGAAGCCACAACAGAACAGAGTGGGTTCTAAAGCAAAGCACTTCTCAGTTATCAAAAGAGCAGAACAGATGCAAAGACACACACACACACACACACACACACACACACGGTGAGAAGACAAACAGCAAAGAATGCCAAGGAACACCAAACATTCATTGAGTCGACCAGAAACTAGGAGAGAAGCCCATGAAGGAATTGACATGGCTGAGACCTTGATTCGGACTTTCAGATTTCAGAACTAAGAAAAAATAATTATCTGTTCTTTAAAGGAATACACTTGTGGTATACTCTGTTATGGCAGCATTAGGTAACTAATACAAAAGTGTACTAAATCAAATACTCAAAATTAGATGACTGGAGGAAGATTCATTAACAACCTGTGATATGCAGATGAGACAATCTTGCTTTCTGAAAGTAAAGATGACTTAAAGTACTTACTGATGAAGATCAAAGACTATAGTCTTCAGTATGGATTATACCTCAACATAAAGAAAATGAAAATCCTTGCAACTAGGCCAATAAGCAACATCACAATAAATGGAGAAAAGATTGAAATTGTCAGTGACTTCATTTTACTTGCATCCACAATCAACAACCATGGACGCAGCAGTCAAGAAATCAGACATTGTGGACATCGTATTGCACTGGGCAAGTCTGCTGCAAAAGACCTCTTTAAAGCATTGAAAGAAAAGTAGTCACTTTGAAGACTAAGGTAGGCCTAACCCAAGCTATGGTATTTTTGATTGCCTCATATGCATGCGAAAGCTGGACAATTAATAAGGAAGACCTAAAAAGAGCCTCTGAATTGTGGTGTTGGCGAAGAGTACTGAAAATAAGATGAACTGCCAGAAGAAGGAATACATCTGTCCTCAAAGAAGTGCAGCAGGAATGCTCCTGGGAACTAAGAATGGCTAGACTTCATCTAACCTACATTGGTCATGTTGTCAGAAGGGACTATTCCCTAAAAAAGGATATCATGCTTGATGTAGAGTCAGAGAAAAAGGGAAAGACTCTCAACGAGATGGACTGACACAGAGGCTGCAACGATGTGAGGACGGTGCAGAATTGGGCAGTGTTTTCTTCTGTTGTACATAAGGCCACCAGAATCGGAGCTGACTCGACAGCTCATAACAACAGATGATTTGAAAAGAACTCTTAGAGTAAACAATCTGTACTTAACAATAAAAATAAAAAGAAGTTGAAACATCTTCAATGTCAGTAACAAATTTTATAACTACAAGATACCATTGAAACTATCCATAAACATACAGTAAATTACATCATACATATTAGATATAATCTTATAAAAGGCAGTCTAGTGTTTGAACCCAACAAAAATTTCCCAAAAAATCCCAGACTATACAGCTCAGCAGAAGAACCTGCTTTCCAGGTAATATTGTTTATCTTTCTGTAGCTCAAGACAGTTTCTCACATTAAGTCAACTCAGTGATTCATTTTTTCCTTAGAATGACAGAAAATAAGCCTATTCAATTCCATCCAAGAGTTATTCAAATGTTTGACAACAGCTACTAGGAGCCTAAAATCTTTTCTTGTCCATGTTAAATATCATTAGTTCCTTCAATTACTTTTCATATGCCATAGATTTGAAGGTCCCTCAATAACATGGTTATTCTCTGAATATACTCTAATTTATCTTTTTCCTTTCTTTTTTTAAATCCAGTCTGCACAATGATGTAGGTGACTCAACCACAAGAGGGAAAAAGGAAACACTAGAATTAGTAAACACTAGAATTTTATTCCTTATGTTTAAAGACTGCATTAACTTCTGGGCATCTATTTCACCTTGCTAACTTCTATCAAAGGATACTATCACCTAAGATGATGTATCTCTAGGAGTTCTTCTGGTGGTTCAGTGCCTAAGACACTGACTGCTAACCAGAAGGTTGATGATTTAAACCCAAAAGCCACTCCGTGAAAGGGAGATGGGACAATCTACTCCTGTAAAGATTTATCACCTCAGAAACCCAATGGGGGTCACTATGAGTCAGAATCGACTCCATGACAGAGGGTTGGGTAAGATGATGTATCTAGCTAGGATATAATTCCTTTATTCTTTTAATGTTTTAAACCCAAGAAAGGTATTCTATATATTTCTACTAAATATCATCCTATTTTATTCGGTCCAATTCCTGACAAGCTGAAACAACGGTCCTGATTCTATCATCCAGTATAATACTACAGCCCTGACGGTTTTATATCATTTGCAAATTTTTCTTTCTACTTCTTTATCTAAATTAATGTTAATGAATTAAGCAACATTGGTGAAATAACTTGAGTTAAAGACGAAATCACAAAGCAAATTAGAAAATACTTTTTACCTCAAAGTTAATGAAAATACAACATATGAAAATTTGTAGATTACAGATAAAGCAGTGATTGTTGTTGTTGTTATGTGCCATCGAGTCATGATTAGAGGGAAATTTATACATTTAAATGTTCATTAGAGTTTAAAATCAGTAACCTAGCATCTATTTCAAGAAGTTAAGATAAAGGAATAAATAAAACTCAAATATGAAATAGAAAACAGATGAACAGAGAAAATAAGCAAAGCTAAAATTGGTTCTTTAAAAAGATTAATAAAATTGTTATCTCCAAGAATGACTGATTAAAAAATTGAAAACACAAATTATAAATATGAAATATGATAAAGGAAAGATCACTTATGAACATATAGGCATTGAAAAAATAAGCATGTTCTATAAAATTTGGAGACCTGAAAGATTTTTAACTAGGTCATTAAGCTTTACCATGGCGATGTTGGTTTAAAAAAGACTGAAAGTAACTATTGTAGGCAATTTTGTCATACATTGTTCATACTTGACCTCATTACTCAGTCAATCTGAGATTCCAGGAAGAGAACAGTTAAATAAATATAGGGAAAAGTTGTAGCTATGAAGTAGGTACACATGAAAGCAGAAGATCTAAACTAGAAAAAATGTCTTTCAAAAAGCTGGTTTAGTTTACCAAATAGCTAGCTTTAATTTATATAAATCTTAAGTCTCAATGACCAAGATATGAGTTAAATAATGCTTAACTATTTTATTCACAAAGTCTTGAATATATTTCCTATGTTTCTTGTTTAAGTCTAAAGTCCTTGCATTTCAGATATTAAATGTGAAAAAGAGTAGGTAATAAGAGAAAGAAGAGGAAAAGAAAATTTAGAAAGATAATTTATTAGAGATAAACAATTTCTATGACCAAATTTGTCAACAACAGAAAATACATGCGTATCAAGATATGTCAGTACTGCATTTTTATCTGTTCTGCCTAATGCTCTAAGTGAAAAGGCAGTTGTAATAATTTATTTATAGCAAAAAAAAAAAAAAAAAAGGAGCTAAACTGATTGTTCACAATCTTCTGCCATCCAATTAAATGTCTATTTGGTTTTTTGAAAAAGGTTCATTCCATCATAATAACTATTTCCATAATCAATAACTAACATTTAACAAACATAAACAATATTCTTTTTTAAAAGATACATATGTTTATCATGGAAAATAATGAAAAGCCAAAAGAAACTACAGTTTACTTACAAACCTAGCTCCTGGACATAACCACAATTATGTTTTTTGGTACAATTAAATTAATACAATTTTGTCCTCAGTTTTTTATTCACTTAACGATAAATTATGAGCATTTCCTTAATTTCTTTGATAGTGTTCAATATATTATTTTTAAAAGCTCTGTATTTTTTCCATTATATGAATATAATGAAAAATATATTTAATTTACTCTATTGGATAATTGATTCCAATTTTTCAATTGTGATCACAGAATATTTCTATACATGTATCTATGTGTGTATATCTTAGATACATACGTATAGTAAACACAAAGTCATTGATCAGCAAGTTTCCTTTTGAAATTGAAACAATTTCAAATATGAATACCTACATGAGTATCTGCTCTAAAACTTACCTTTTTCTTTTTAACTTTTCCATCAGGTAGAGGAAAATGGTCTTCTAGAAACTCACCCAAGGTGAACAAGAGCTTCTCCTTATATTCTTTGATATTAAGCATTTTAGTTTTCAGCTCATTTAAGATTCTAGTAGAATGAAAAAAATTAAGAGAAGCATTTAGCTAATAAAATACATATACATATGTAACTGGTTACTCATAAAGTTGATCAAAAACTTTGAATTTCACTGCTTAAACCAAATAACTAGCTTCATGAAGTAATACTCTAATTTAATACATAGAGAAAGTAAACTTAATGATCAAGCCAAGTCCTGGAAATAGACTGTAACTAATGAGTGGCAAAAGTTAGGGCAAGACTCAGGATTACTACCAAAATTTATCTTCCTTTCAATTATGTATTTCTTGTATGTAACAATGAAAATACTTCCCCCTATTTTAAAAACCTAGAACACAAAATTAATACCTTGATTCAGAAAATGGTACAACCTGGTTTTTCAGTTCACTGTATAGTGTATTAAGAGACTCCAGTACTTGTTCTTGTTCGTTCAACCACTGTTGCTCCCTATAAACAGTGGGGGGAGGAGGGGAGACAAATAAAACATTAACTGCTAATTCAACACATATTAGTGACTAATGGTAACTATAACATAAATAAAGGAGCCCTAGTGGCACAGTGGTTAAAGTAAATGGTCTCCAACCAAATGGTCAATGGTTCAAATCTATTAACCACTCCACAAGAGACAAATGTGGCAGTCTGCTTCTATAAAGATCACACCCTTGTTCATATATGTAAGGAAACTTTATTTGCTGGTTACCAGGGGTGGGAGGGGAGGGGAGGGAACACTGCAAAAATAAAAATAAAAATAAAAATAAATAAATAAGGAGCTCTGGTGGTATAGTGCGTCAGGCATATGGCTGCTAAGCAGAAGGTTGGCGGTTCAAATGCACCAGCTGCTCCATGGGAGAAGGTAAAAAAAAGAAATCATAGCATTGGTAACCCTATAGCACAGATGCCCTACAGGGTTGCTATGAGTCAGAATCGACTCAACAGCAATAAATTTTTGTAACATACATATACCTCTCCAAGTCTTCCTTTAACTTTTTATTCTTTGACTGAATAGCAGACAATATCACTTCTAGATCACATTTCAATTTTTGGAACTGGAACGAAATAAACCAAATTAATTATTTAGTCTTTAATCCTATGAACAGTTAAGTCAGTACTTCTGATTTATATTGAAATGAACACATTGGTCTAGGATCAATACTTTAGCTCAGAAATCAATAGCAAACAAACAGTAGAAAATCTATGAAAGGGTAAATATATAGCAGGTGCTAACTTTTTTTTTTTAACATTCCATGGTTAAATACAAAAAATATAAAATGGAGCTTTGAGTAATATATTTTATTTTCATACTAAAAGCAAACTAATGGTGAGTTATCAGTAATCAGGTAGATTGGGTCTCTTTTCTAAGGACACTATACAAAAACAAATGAAAATTATTCATTCAATAGATATTGACTACCAGACATTTCTGATGTTAAGGATTTAGACAGAAAGAATATACTATAGAAATCTAGATCTAAAAATAATAAAGAGTACTGCAAATGTAAAAATGAGGATAAATATATATAATATTTTATTTTTTATTTTTAACTTCTTTAAAAGATAAACAGATATTTAGAGGAAAACAGTAATAATGAAAAATGGTGTCTATAACTTCCAAAGATGCAAATTATATCACAACACCGAATGAAAGAGAGGAAATGGAAGTGTACTGTTTTAAGTTTCTCACATTATATGGGAAGTACAACAACAATAATAATAATATATTGTTTGAAGGTAGGCAGTGGTAAGTTATAGATGTATATGTATAAATACTAAAGCAACCACAAAAATAATGAAATAAGGAGGAATAATAAGAATGGAAATAAAATGGATTAATTTATAAAACTACAAAATTAATCCAAGAAAGTAAGAAAACAGGACAGAGAATAGGTAGAATAAAGATAAAAGTAAAATCAAGAGTGTAGATTTAAACCTAATCATATTGATATTACACTGAATATAAATGGATATGGGAATTAAATTAGAAATCAGTAACAGAAAGTTATCTGCAGAAACGTGCAAGTATCTGGATATTAAAAAGCACACTTCTAAATAATCCACAAGTCAAAGAAGCAATCAACTGGAAAATTATTATGAATTGAATGAAAACAAAATCATTAACATAAAAATTTCTGGGATGAAACAAATGCAGTAGTCAGGGAATTTTTAACACTAAAAACCAATAGTAGGGGAGAAACAAACACAAAGTTCTCAAATTAATGACCTGTTTCATCATAAAAAATTAGAAAAAGAATAAATAAAAATAAGCTGAAGAAAAAACAATAATAATAGATAACAGAAATCAATGTAATAGAAAACAAACAAAATAAAAATAGAGAAAAATCAATGAAACCAAACACTGGTTCTTTGAGAAGGTCAATGAAATTAGGGAGACTCATTATCAACAGCAGGAATGAGAGAGATGGCATCACTACTGATGCTAAAATGGTAACAGGGAGAATGTTATTTATGCAAATAAAATAAACAAATTAGATGAGATACTTTGAAAGTAACAAATTGCCAATGCTCATTTAAAGTAAACTAGAAAACCTGACTAGCCTAAACAAATTAAAATTATAGTTAAAAATCTTCCCACAAAGAAAACTCCAAGCATAGATAGCTTTACTGGTGAATTCAAACAAAACTTCAAGGAAAAAACAATAACAATTGCACATAAACTCTTTTCAAGAGGATGTATTTTTTCTTCTCACTAACATTTTAATTTACTTTTTAAATTTATTTTTTGTTGTTGAGAATATGCACAGAATACACAATTCAACAAATGATGTGCAATTTAGTCACAGAGATTACATTCTTCAAGTTGTACAATCATTCTTACCCTCTTTTTCTGAATCGTTCCTCCACCATTAATATTAACTCATTGACCCCTAAGATTCTTATCTAATCTTTTGAGTAGTTGTGTGAATTTGATCTAACTTTTTATTGTGATTTTGGTAAGGAAAGAATACTTCTAAACTAATTTTAAGAAGCTGCTGTTATCCTAATTATCAAAGTCTGACAAAGGCATAATGAGAAAAGAAAGCCATAAACCAATACATCTCATAAACACAGATGCAAAAATTCTTAATAAAATGTTAGCAAATTAAGTGCAGAAATATATTTTCTTAAAAAAATTACAGTAAACTTATCGTACATTATAATAAACGAGGGGTTAGCCCAAGAATGCAATTAATTAAACCACTGAAATCAACTTAAAAATCAATGTAATTCACCATATTGACAAATTGAAAAAGAAAATATATTTGATCATCTCAATGAATTCAGAAAGAACAAGTAACAAAATTCAGTATTAACTCATGATAAAAGACTTCATAAATTAAAGCAGAAGGAAATTTCCTCAAACTGATCAAACACATCTATATAAAACCTACTAAGTGACATCATGATAAGCAGAGAAAAGTTTGATGTTGTTAAGGATTTCATTTTACCTGGATCCACAATCAAGGTCCACAGAAGCAGCCATCAAGAAATCATGACATGTTACATTGGGTAAATCTGCTGCAAAATACCTCTTTAATGTGTTAAAAACAGAGATGTCACTTTGAGGACTAAGATGACCCTAACTCAAGCCATGGTATTTTCAAATGGTTCATATGCATGCAAAAGCTGTACAATGAATAATAAAGACCAAAGAAGAATTGATGCATTTGAATTTTGGTGTTGGCAAAGAATACTGACTACACGACGGGCTGCCAGAAGAATGAACAATTATGTCTTGGAAAAGGTACAGCCAGAATGTTCCTTAGAAGGGAGGATGGTAAGAATCTGTCTCATGTACTCTGGACATGTTATCAGAAGGGACTAGTCCCTGGAGAAAGACAGCATGCTTGGTAAAGTAGAGGGTCAGTGAAAAAGAAGACCCTCAATAAAATGGATCGACACAGTGGCTACAACAATAGGCTCAAGTAAGCAATGATTGTGAAAATGGCACAGGACTGGGCAGAGTTTCATTCGGTACTGTGTAAAGTCACTAAGAGTTGAAACTGACTTGACTACAGCTAACAACAACCATATCACAATTAATGGTAAAAGAATGAGTGCTTTTGCTTAAAATTATGAACAAGGCAAAAATGTTTATTCTCATCACACCTATTCAGTATTTTACCAGAGATTCTAGTGTAGTACAATAAGCCAAGGAAAAGAAATAAAAAGCATCTAGATTAGAAATAAGTAACTAAAACTGTCTTTGATCTCAGACAACATGATAATTTAGTTAGAAAATCCTACAGAATCTACAAAAAAACTACTAGAATAAAGGAGGTTCAGCGCTCACAGGATACAAGATGATTATATAAAAATACCTATTGTATTTCTATGTACCAGCAATGAGTAATTGGAAATTAAATTTTATAACATACTATTTTAATACTATCAAAAATACAAAATATTAAAGGATAAATCTGACAAAATATGTGCAATACCTGTGCACTGAAAACTACAAAACCTTGGTGGGACAAATTTTAAAAATCCTCAACAGATCATACAGTGCTCATGGATCTGAATTAAGACTCGATATAGTTAAATTCAGGAGTCCTGTGGTACAGTGGTTAAGCATTCAGCTGCTAACTGAATCCACCAGTTCAACCCACCAGCTGATCCGTGGGAGAAAGATACGGCAGTCTACTTCTATAAAGACTTATGGCCTTGGAAAGTCTATGGGACAGCTCTACTCTGTCCTACGGGGTTACTCTGAGTTGGAATCAACTCCACAATGATGGGTTTGGTTTTAGAATGGCTAAATTCAACATTGTTAAATATATCAATTCTCCCATGATTAATTTGTAATTCAGGGCAATCAAAATTTCAGCAAGCTTTTTTTTGGGAGATGGAATGACAAGCTAGTTTTTAAATTTATAGAGAAATATGAAACAATTTTGAAAAAAACAATAAAGTTGGAGAACTCTGATTTTGATTCTTATTACAAAGCTTCAATAAATTCTGACTACAGAATCATGGACATTTCAATCAACTGACACAACACAGTATTTGGTTAAATATAGAAACATAGGCCAAACAAACTAAAATATCTACAGCACTGGTTGGAATTCAGTGAAACAGAATTGGAGAGCCCAGAAACAGATTCACATATATATTTTAAAAATCTACTGCCATTGAGCATTTCCAACTCCAGTGACCCCCAGTTTCCAAAGCTGTAAATCTTTATGGAAGCAGACTGCCTCATCTTTCTTGGTGGGTTTCAACTGCCAACCTCCTGGTTAGAAGCTGCAGCTCCTTATGTACTGACACACATACAGTCAAATGATTTTCAACAAAGATGCCAAGGCAATTCAATGGAAAAAAGATAGGTTTTGTTTTGTTTTTCACATTTCTTATCACATTTGTTTATATGAGGAAAATTGCTAAACATTCTTTTTTTGGGGGAGGGTAGCATTTTATTTCATTTATTAGTTTTTTAAATTGTGAAAGTTTATGGCCTTGGAATGTCTATGGGAGGTTTTGAGTGAAAGTTTTGAATGAAAGTTTACAGAGCAATTGGTTTCCCATTCAACAATTCATATACAGTGTATCCTGAGACAGTCACTGCAGTCTCCACATGTAACAGTACTGTTTCTTCTTCCTCCCTGTGTTTACCTTTTCCCTTCATCCTTCTCTCCTATTCCTTTTGGCCTTCTTAGTTTTATCCCTGGGCAAACACTGCCCTTTTTATCTATATCAGACAGCTGATTATTCTAAGGAGTAGAGACCTTCTTGGTATTATAGTCCGCGTTACAGGCCTATTATTTGGCCAAAAGTTGAACCATAGAGGTGAATTCAGTACCCAGCTTGAAGGCTGTCCCAGGGCCATCGTCTTGGGGATTCCACCAGTCTCTACCAGACCAATAAGCCTGATTTTTTTTCTTTTAAAATGATTTTTATGTTCTGCTGAGCTTTGTTCCACATTTTTCTCCCAATCTACTACTTGAGAAAAGATAGCTTTTTTCAACAATTTGTGCTGGCACAATTAGTATCAATATTAAAAAGGAAAAAGAAAAAGAACACTTTTATTAATAACCCATAAAACCAAAAAAAA